CAGTAGCCTGTGAAGTACGCATAATTTTGATACCCGAGTTACAGAGTTGGGAAAAGCCTTAATCTTTCAACATGGCAGAAAAGAGTTGAACACTTTAGCTATTGCATTGCAATGCACTGCATGGCAACCACTCAAAACACCACAGCTCATATGTTTTATCTGAAAAAATCGAAAAGCTAAATACAAAAATTCTAACTCGCACTTACATTTTTTCCTCACCATTATGTTACTTTTTCCAAATGATGCCTTTATGTGTGGTAGAGTTATCGTAAATATGAATTGACAATTTGGAAACTACACATTCGTGCTCACTAATACTATAATTATGAATGGGAATGTTGGACATGCCAGTCATGCTTGTCAAAAGATCGTATTTGTCCCTTCTCAAGTTATAATTATGTGTACGCTACGTTTGAATGCTTTGTGGTTGGAGAGAACAAAACATGGTGAATGATGTTTCATTCATGATAATGTTTCATTCATGATAATGAATTTTATCTCCAATACATGGGTCAAAGACAAATAAAGAAATTAATTAATTAATTAATACAGATTTATTTTTTCCTGTACATTAGAATGTGTTCTGTTTAAACAAAAAAACTATAAAAATGTAATACAGCTTAATGTGTCCCCTTAATGTGTTCTGTTTACCAATAGTTCATATACCAAAAAAATTGTCAGGTATATTCAGAACAAGAATCATTAGATTCTTAGATTAGATCTGTTAAGCTGAATGGCGATGAAATATTAATTCACCCATATTTTGACATATTTTGTATAAAATAACTTTTATAAATTAATTTGATGCGGACACCAAAAATGGGACATCTTGTCTTTGACAAGATACACACATTATGCAACATGGTTAAATGGTTACAGACATATGTATCTGACAGAAACAGCATCAACTAACAAGGAAGCTTTACTTCGAAAAATAAATAAATAATAATAATTATCTACCATTCCCAACTGAAATGGTTCTCTTCTCCACCACGTTGAAAAGGTATGGGTTAAACTTCAGGGGTAGGCAAGTTCGGTCCTAGAGAGCCACAGTCCTGCGGAGTTCAGCTCCAACCCTAATCAAACACACCTGAACAAGCTAATCAATTTCTTCAGGATTACTAAGGCTATAGGCAGGTGAGTTTTTTTTTCAGGGTTGGAGCTGAACTCTGCAGGACTGCGGCTCTCTAGGACCGAACTTGCCTACCCCTGGGTTAAACGAACATGGTTACTCGAGTCTCAGTCAGGTTTTATTGTTGCCTTCAAGTGAATTTCGGAAGCTTTTACCTCATAGTTGGGCATTCATTTTTAGGACATTACACATTTAAGTTGGAAACATAACAAGGAAGTAGCCTTAACAAAATAAAATAACTAAATTGTGAACAATAAACCAAATAACTACATCTGAATTCAAAATGATGAAAATTATTCATATCTATACCTTAAATTATATATGACATCACAACTAAATGCGTTTTTGTTACATAAAGCAAACTGTGAAGCTGAGTGATTGACTTCACTACAGACTTGCTTTCCTGGATCTCTATATATAAATTATGGATATAGTATGGTGTCCGTGTTTCTGCCATGCATGTTTCAAATTAACAAGCCCTTACAACGTCACAACTCGTCAATTTGTGTAGCCTATCATCTAGAATGCAGACTTTCCCACTTGTAAATAAAACTTTGCTTGGTCAGTGATGTGTTCGGAATCAACGTGATGCGAAGACTACAAACGGTTGTGCAGAAAGTGATCTGCAACTTGATACAGTGGGACACTCACTAGTAACAAACAACTAAGAGGTTGCAACCGAATAGGCATACTTCCCTATATGTACTAGAAAAAACAACAACAACACAGTAGTACATCCGAATTCACAGAATTCGTAAAACTGTAGGCAAAAATTTCCCAGATGACATACTACTTTCACAGAGATTCTGAAGTGTGCATCCAATGGACGCTATCCTATGATTGAATGGTAGATAATAGGCTCTACTGATGCTGGTTGGCCTTATAACAATCACAACATGACAACATTCATACTAGAGTAACTTACATACTTTTTAAACAGTTGTGAAGCAAGTTCTTATTCAAAAAAGTACCTATTTCTAACACTGCTAGAGATTAATTGACCTCAAGCAATTTAATTAAACGCTGAAACAAAATAGGCACTTTTTTTCTGTTAAGTAGGCATAAATAAATAGGCCTACACCTATATTACTCAACATTACTATGACAAGTCATTTTAAATAATTTATTTTAAAAAAATAGCAAAGAATTAGCTTTACATTAGTAGACTATAACTATTAATTAAATATAACAATTAAATTAAATAACTGAGAATGTATTTATTACCATCGACTGCAGGTAGCTTTCCGCCATCTTCGTATAGACACGCCCCTTCCAACGTCACGACTCAGGTATCACGGGTATCCATTCTTTTGCACGTAATCGTCTTCAATTGCAGGCCTCATTCGACTTGAAGGCACGTAAAGGCGAGCCATTAGCGAGCACGGACCAGAGGCAGTTTTCAGCTGCTGTCACTTAATTAACCTCACCCGACTGAGGGAAAAGAACATACATGCAAGAATGTTAAGAGATACAAGTTTACCGTTGATTGTTATGCGTTGATTTGTGATATGCACGAATGAGTTAAACTCCAGTCGAATGAGTGGAAACAAACGATTGGTAATTTGCGTTTTTATTTATGATCCATTGCCCTCTATAGGACAGACTAGGTACCGCAGGATAAATGAGATTTACACGAATTTATTATTTTAAAAGAGACACTTGCTGAAAAGACGCTTGATGTTTGTCTTAAAAGTTATTTTGTGATAAAGTAACTATAGATTGTGTTTGAAGAGGACTTGTTAGGCTTATTGCAGTAGAAATGGCGTAATTGTTAGTAACTGTTAATAACTACAACAGTTTGGCTAAGTGCTTACAAGTCGTACTAAAACTAACTTTCCCCGGTGGAATACATTACACAGATCCGACTTCGTGGCAGTTTTAACAACTGTGACGAACTTTAAAGGTTAGCATGCCAGGCAAGAAGTGCTAGTTTTTTAGTGCTGCAATGACACTTGTATCCACAAGATGGTGTCTTTCTCCTCTTCAGGGTTCAATGAAGCTTCACATTCTTGTAAATTTGCAAAACCTCTTTTTTTTTTTTATTGCCAAGTATATATTTTTGTTGTTTTACCCTCTACATTTTAAAACAACAAAATCCATCATAAACTATTATTATTATTATTATTATTATTTTAAATATGTGCATCACCAACTTCAGTATTTGAATCAAATTATTTGTTTAGAAAAAAATATTACTGTACCACAATGGCATCATTTCCACCACAAACAAACAGACAGACAAAAAAAAAAAA